ACTATATGCCGGATAGGGTAAGATGGTGAGATTCAACTTCACAATTGCCTCTTAGGTTGCTTGTGAGGTGTGAGGCCTAGCAGTGTCATTTGCAGCGATATTTCCTTCTTGTGCTGCCAAACTCTGCTTAATTGTTGTTTCAAAGGTTTGAGCATTGCAATGTAGTGCTCTGAGTTGATTGTGGTCCCAGGTTCAAGGAAATCCATGTGAATAACACCATCTGCATCCCAAAGAAGACTGGGTTTTGATTCCCCCCCTTCCCCCCACCCCTGGGCAGGTGAAGCTTTGTGATAATATTCCATGGACTGATGCGTTGTTTCTGGATCATAATGATGAGCCCATGTTTTGTTAGCTGTCATGATTGCAAGTTGCTGGCAAATTTCAGTTCCTGAAGCTTTCATTTCTGCCATCAGCAAGTGAGGAACTCATCTTACACAAACCTACTGATATTGAAAAACATCAATAATGTAATCCACATGTTCCTGTGAAATGCCAAGCATGACAGGTTCATTAACCTTTCTCATGTAAAACTCATTGGTTGTTGCCACAGGTCATTCATTTCATTCTTAGTCACACTTACCTGCACTTCCCAGTTTGCCAGCCTTATGTTTTTTGGCCCAGTAATGCACAGTATTCAAGTCATCGACATAAACAACCTGGATTTCAGTTGAAGGAACTCTTTTGGCAGTCAGAAATTCCATCACAGTACAAAGCTTAAAGCACACTGATGAGTACTTACTGCAAGCTTCAATTGCACAAACAGTAGCCACACAACCATTTCTCACAGCAACTTCCTGCTAACTAAAGTAAAAGAACAGATGCTAAAGAACACATCAGAGCTTTCAGCATGTCAACACTGCCATCTGTTGGCAATTTATAACACTGGAAGCATTACTTTTCATTCAGCCCTTGTAGTCTTGCCTAAGCAAAAAGCCAGCTGGCTTTGGGACAGTCACACTCTCATAGCCCTAGGAAGAAGGCAATGGCAAACTACTTTCAAAAATGTTGCCAAGAAAACTGCAGAGACTTATACATGTAATCACTAGGAGTCAAGACTGAGTTGAAGGCCACAAAAAACAAAACAAATACAAAACAAACAAAAAAAACCCAAAAACAAAACCCTGAGACTGAAACTCAAAGGCTGAATTTGTTCAACATGCTAATCTAGTTCAAAGGTAGCTGTGATTCAGCATAGAATGAGAATCCACCATCATCTTTGTATTTGTGTGGGTCAGTGCATCCCATTAAGCCATTATCATTTAGTCATTTGCACATAGCATTCTTGTGTGAAGAGAGCAAACCTGGGCTAGCATAGCAATTATATTAACTTTGATTTACCCTGTTTTGTGAACCCAGATGAAGATTACATACTCTGACCCCTTATTGCTAATAAGGATGAATAGGCTTATCTTCCAGAAATACATCTATTTTCCATTTATTGCAGGGAACTTAAATTTGATTCCTTTTGGGAGAGAGAAAAAAAATGAATATGACTTTGTCAGAGGAAAGGTGGAAAGGCCTTTTTCTTGCAGAGGTTCAGTAAATCAAATCCTTGGTCTCTGGAGATCATCAAATTCATTGCTGAGTTCATCTACAGGAGCTCTCTTCAGTTTTATCTTGAAGGGACCAATTTATTTGCAAAACCCGGTCTAGCAAGGCATTTGCTTTTCTGCTACAGGTTTTGTTTAATCTAATTGCCAAGGAGAAAAATAGCGACACGAAGAAGTTTACACCGTGTCTTTCTGTATTATTAAGTTCTACGCTGTAGCTGAAGGAATGACTTTCAGATTTGGCCTTTGCCCTTGCCTGAACCTACCACAAAAAGCAGAGCTTTGTTTCTCCTCCTCCCCTCCGCTTCATCCTGGCTATCAAAACATTTGACATTAAATGTCGCCAGTCTGGCTGTTAGAATGGGAGGAAAGACACAGCTGCTTTAAGGTATTGCATTCATGCTCCCAGCACTCGGAAGCATCTTTTGGAGATCAGATCCAAACTGCGGCACGACTTCATATTTACTGTCACCTCTGTGAGTTGTGAACTAGGACATTCGATTTGCTTACTGAAGATACATGCAATTTAATACGCAAAGTTTTAAGGCATTGTCAATCTTATAGTCAAAATTAGGGTTCCAGTATCTCATTCGTCCATTCATTTTATTTTTGGCCTGGGCTCTGTACAGTCATCTGTACTGTTAAGAAATTATGTTTTTTCTTTCTTAGACTCCAAGCCCTACCCAACCGAATTATTTAATCTGGAATCCAAGTGGCTTCTTTCTTATTTTGTTCCAGGAAACTCTAGTTTGGTGGAGTTTTAACAGAACAGAACAGTTTTATGAAAAAGTATTTGCTGTGTTCAAATGTCCTGAATGTTTGCATACTTTTGCCACTGAATGTTATCAGAGCTTTGTGTGGGTCCTACTGACACTTGACTGGAGATTGAATAATCAAATAACACTAAAGTTTGGGGCTCATTCCATTTATTTCGCAGCCATCCTACAGTATGATGGGCTTGGGTGGAAGTGTAGAACCGCCATCTCCCTTGATTCAGTAACTGGTGGTCTCATTTTTAACTGCAATAACTGCAACCAATATGTTTGTTGAATTTGTGATCATGCTTTCACACCACAGGGTGTGAATTTTTGCCCATTCCTCCATGGCAAACTGCTTCAACTCAGTAACATTTGAGGACTTTCTAGCATGAACTGCTTGTTTCAAATCTTGCTACTATGGGGCTTACTGTGTTTCTACAGGGTTTAGGTCTGGATAGTCATTCCAAAACACTGAGTTTGTTCTTTTCATTTCATTCTCTCCAAGAGAATGAAATAAGAAGAACAAACTCAATGTTTGATGCCAGGATTAAGCAAAAGGGAGAAGAAACAAAACCCAGCCTTTTATATGGCAGGTTCAGACAAGGGCAAAGGCCCTGGGACCGTTGACTGCATGAACCACTTTTCTTTCACCTGATAGATGTATGGTCTGATAGTCTTCTCTTGAATTCTCTGGGGGAAAAAATGGTCCCATCAATGATGGCTAATTATTGAGGTCCTGAGGCATCCCCAAACCATGACACTATCACCGCTATACTTGATAGTTGGTATGAAGGAGTTCTTGTAGAACACATTGTTTAGTTTCTGCCAGACATAACAGTATGATGTAGCCTGAGAAATTCTAGTTTTCACTCCTCTATGTTCAGAGCATTCCTCCAGAAATCTGGAGGGTCATCTAGGTACTTTTTGGCAAACTTGAGCATCAGTGGTCCGCTTAGTGTCCAATAACCTCTATCTTCCTTCTTTCCCATGAATCCTCTTTTCAATCATTGCTTTTCTGGTGGTGGATTCATGAACACTTTAGGTATAGTAAAAGACGCTGCAAATCTCTGCTGATGTTCTGCAGTTCTTAGTGACTTAGGATGATTTATGCTGTACTCTTGCAATTCAGACAGGATGGCCACTATTGTCCCAAATCTTCTTCCTTTCAAAGGCGTGTCTCTGACTGTGGATCAGTAAAGCTTCAGGACCTTAGAAATGGGCTTGTAATCTTTTCCAGATAGATATCAATGACTTTTTTAAATGGATGTCTTCATAAAACCTTCCTGTAGAATCTGTGTGGTGAGAATTTCAGTGTGATAAGAAGAGCCAAAATTTCTAAAAATTTTATAACCCAGATCAATCTTGATTGTTCAATTAATTATTCACAAAATTGACCCTTGGTATTTAATTAAATTGGTTGACTTGGGGTGATTACTTTTTCATGCTGACAAATCACATGATGGATTTCTGTTTATGAAATAGATAAAACAAGCCTCAAGCTCAACACTTTTTTTTTCAAAGAACTGTAAATATTCTGTTAAAAGCCCCATTGAGCTAGAAAACAGATCTCTATAGGTTTATAGTACACCACAATGCCATCTGCCTTCAGTGTGACAGGCATTCTCCATACGGTATTTATGATTTATATAAAATTTTAACATGCTAAGTTTAAGATCCTCACCTTATTCGTTTTCCCTCTACAGTGATCAGAAACTAAATTCTTCTTTTAGAAGAATCATGTGAATGTGACTGTAGAGGGAACAGAATGTTCAGAAAAATAACGAGGCATAGTCTTTCATAGTACTGGTCATATTTTCTGTCTTAAGATATGTCTTAATTTTTTTAAAAAAGCAGTTTATTTGTTGACAACATATATCAGGGAAAGTTTTAGCTTCTTCTTAGCTTGTGGAAGAATAAAGCAAGGTTGATATAGGAATCTGTGACTGGCTTTGAATGGCAGACCTTATGGCTGAAATACTTGGCCTAATTTTTGACTTGCATGCCTGTTTCTTCATCCTGTTTTATTTTTGCAACATACGGCCAAATAAAGAGTTCAGGAGAGCTGAAAAACTTGCCTTTTGGTTGGTCCTAATAAATAGATTACTTAGTTCTAGGTTTGGGGTCCCTCCTGTGGAGCCACAATGGCTTTTTATGTAATGAGAAGCTCTGTGAAAATGAGTCTCAGGCCTGTGGAGTGTGGTGAAAGCCCCGCTGTAAAATCCAGATTGAAGTAAGAGTCCTGCATATTCTAAAAAAGATAAGCAGATGAGTGGAGAGCCATTTTCATGTTCTTCTCGAATGATGAATTTTATCTAGGAGGTCAGGACTTGGAAAGCGATCCCATTTCTGCATCTTTCCTTTCCTGAGGGCACCCTTTGCTTTCTGGCTGAGTCTTCTTCCTTCTTCTAAGGAACAGGCGTGAAAAGAGCTTGGGATGGATGTAAGATCCTGAGATGACATTTTCCCCCAATAAAATTACTGCCCAGGCACTTGTGGGGTGGTGCGGTGGGTGTCGCGATGCAAATCGTGTGATATACATACTTGCATACAACATGAGGATGTGAAAGGCTGGGGGTTGCATCATAGCACATTTTTATCATTTTTGCCTCATGGCAATTTGTATTAACCTAAAAATTACTGTACTGTTTCCAGGATTGAAATGTGTCTCTCATGAAACCCTATCTTTTCACAGGTTTGTTCTCACTGCTGCATCTTCAAACAGCGACCAGAGATTTTGTCTGCTCTGCTTGCAACATGTTCATTCGTTGACTGAGAGGAGTCACGCTGAAGAGTCAAATTAGAGTCTAACACTGTTTTTCCCCAGATATCTCTGTTCTTGCTATGGCAGTAAATGTTCTCCCTCCCATGCCACAGCCTATCTCAGTCAAGGCCTTTCAGATACGTTAATTCCCCACAATCCTCATTTAAAGGATATACTGGTTGGGCATTATGGGCATTGTAGTTTAACATGTCTGGAAGGCACCTGGTTGGGGGAGGCTGGGTTTTCGTACAGTTTCTCCTCATGCTTCCTGCCACTTGAAAAAGTGACTCTCAAATTGTTGTTGCCCTTTAAGGGTCTCGAACCCAAACTTAGCCACTGAAAAATACATATCTTACCGAGCTCCCAGCTGGTTTTTCATGCTCATGGAATATCACACGTGTTTGGGTATGAATGCTTTGAGTAAACCTGTGGAAAATTCAGCCAGCCAACCAACCAACCAACAACAAAAGCAAGAAAAGTATCTGTCTATTCCATACATCCAGAGATAGATCTCTTTGTGCACCTTTGAGCCCAAATGCTGAGACCTTAGGTTGGAGTTTCAGCATCATCCTATGATGCAACCATCTTCAACCTTTCCATATGGGCATTCCTTTCACCAAGAATCACTTCTTCCCCCCCCCCCTTTTAATTCCCAAAATAAAGTTATTCCCTTTTAAAAGTTATATAGTATAATCCTTCACCTTTCCAAAATGATTGTGGAGCCCCATAAGGTGAGCCATGCTACACTGACAGCATGACCCAGCTTAAGGTTATGGGCTTAATAGCTGGCCACAGATATGAACAAGGCCTCAGGCTTGCAAGTTGTACCCACTTTTCATATGTGTTGAGATGCAGAGCTGTTCAGAGTTGATGGTCCCTGGGAAAGCATCTTAGATCTGTGGTGAGCTTCTCCTTGTAAGTTCCTCAGCTTGGGCTGTTAGGACATCTCTTTCCATTAAGCACTATTTCCCTTTCCAACAATGCCCACATTATTCCAGAATAGTTTCTGGAGCCCGAAGTAGGGCACTGAACCCTATGTGGCTTTGGTATTCTTGAACAATTGCAAGGATGCTACACACTCATGCTCAGCCTATGTGGAGATCAAAAGCTTCTAAGTATACATTGAACTAACAGTTACACTCCAAATCCAGGAACAGTGCTTTGTTGTGATGCACTAACAAAGCGTGATACCTAACTATGGATTAGCTTGCCTTTTTTAATTATCCATTTTTAAAACAAATAGAGCATCGTGATTTCAGGTAGTCCTCACTTACCGACCACTCGTTCAGCAACCGTTCGAAGTTGTGACAGCACTGAGCAAGTGGTACTTACAATCGGTCCTCGAAGTTCTGGCCATTGCACCACCCCTGCAAGTCACGCGATCGCAATTCGGGCATTTGGCAACTGGCTCGTACTTACGATGGTTGCAGTGCCCCGCGGTCACCTGATGGCCATTTGCATCCTTCCCTGCCGGCCTCCCACAAGCAAAGTTAAAAAGTGAGAACAGAACCTTTTGATACCATTTGTGTGTGTGCAGAAGATGACAAAGATTGAAGGGGAAGCTTGCAAGCCTGAGACAAATACAGACTCATTCCTGCAATGACAAATTCTGCTTTGTTCATGATAACTAAATTAGATAAAGATGGGCTTTCAGTCTTTTTTAAACACTGGATCAGGGATCAGATAAATGATTAATCCTTCAGCTGTCTGTAGATGCGCTCTGAGAAATAACCCTCACATTCTTCTTCCTCTCCCTTCTTACATAAACATGTCTTGGAAAGAAATGGAGAAAAAACACTTGTAGATGAAAATTGATAGGAAGGGCTCTGAAATCTCCAACACTTAATTCTCCCCCATATATGGCCCCAGTACCAGAACTGCAACATGAAGAAATGTGAGAATGGAAAGCCTACAGTTGGTCTGTAATACAGGACACCACCTTTTTAAGATTCTAACTCACACAATGAGAACCAACATAATGGCGAAGGCACCAGATTGAGCCTGGGAGGACCCAAATTGTAATCCCTCCTGTGACAATGGACCAGTTTCTTATTTCTGAAGATAGTCTACCTCATGAGGTTGTTATTGTGAGAATAAAATTAGGGGAGACTCTAATTACAGACTGTGTAAGCTGTCTTGAGATCCCCCAAGAGAGGAAGGATTACTTTTAGTATTAAAAGTAATTTAATACTAAAACAAAATGGAGAATAGAATGTGATAATGTGATACCTTTAGCAGCATGTTGTTAAAAGAGTATATTGACACTTTTTGATTTCTGGCATAATTCTCTTATTGTGTAGAGGATATTACACAGTATGATAAAATACTGTCTTTAAAATGTAATTTATGTTTATGGTACCCATGACTTTCTGTTAAATTTCTTTGTTTGACAAATATTAATTGTGGTATTTTAAATACATGTTTTATTAGAAATCCATAGTTTATTATAGAAAATTCTATTTGAGCCAGCTATTTCATAGATCAAATGCATTTAGGATCAAGACAGTTACACCAATGAGGAAAATATATTATTTTGAAAATACCCTATGACATATTCAGAAGGAAATGTGATTAGTGGCTGCTAGAGAGGATTAAATCCCTAAGACTTCCTTTTTATCTGTTGTATCCCTAAGAATTGTATTTATCTTGGCCTTGTAACTGTAATTTATTTTCTAAAATAACATTACTAGCTTTAAATACACGTTTGTCTAAACGGAGAATGTTAATGAAACATTCAGATGTTAATAACAATAAAGGGCATTAGTCATCACATTCTTTTCTTGATTTCTTTTGTGGTTTCATTTAACTTTCTCATACAGAGGTTCCGTGGACTTGTCTGTGGCACCATCATTTCCCAGTCTCTATAAAGCCATTCAGAAAGTGAGCTGCAGAGGTCTTCAAGTCTGGTGGACTCAGGAAGCTGAAAAAAAGCGATTAGCGCTTTCTCCAGCCGAACAATAGGAGAGGGTGAAACACGACTTTCAGTTGGCGTCCCATTCTTAGTATCACTGATCTCAGAGCCACAAAAATGCCTTCACGTCCATCCCATTCCCCGCCCCTCTGGCCAAAAAAGAAAAGAAAAAAGGAAAGGAGATACATTTTGGTACCATTCTCTCATCACTTTTTTTTTTTTTGCATATGAAACAGAATGGTTTGATTGGAATACAGTAGAAGTGAGCTGACATGAAGAATAGAGTTGGGGTGAATCTGAGATTCCTGCCGATGGGAAAACAGTGTAGCCGCCAATTCTGGAGACCGTCGGCATTTCAAATGGAAAAATCTGCAATTTTAGATGTATTGCAGCTGAGCTGGAAATAGATGAGCTCAGCTGCTGATTCTGGACTTGTGCAATTGCTCTGTGTGAAAGCTGGTGCAGCAAGTGTTCAAGAGTGAATATAGAAATCTCTTGGTTTGCCAATAATAGTTTCAGGGCAGCGTTCCTGTTAGTTTTTTTTGGGGGGGGGGCTGCGTGCACAACTCTTTTTTTTTTTTGTGGGCTAGTTTTCTCAGCCAGAGTTCAAATGTGTGTGCTGTGAGGTGAGTGCACCAAAGCGCACGTCCAAAATCTTCACAATCTGCAGTGGGATATTACTGAACTAAGTACGGAATACCATATTTCAGCTATGTTACTACACCTGAGTCTGCCCCAAATCATGGAGATATCATCAGATGTGAGTCTCATCATGTTTGTTAGATCAAGGTTATCTTTATAAAACATTTTGGACTGTAAAGACTATTATATTAACATCACAGGCTTACAACTGTAAAGTTCTACCAAACAAGATTTATAGGGTGTAGAATGTATGGGTCTATGTTTAAAGTAGAAAATCAAATGTTTGTTGATGGATGTCCTTTCATCAATGTGAAATATTGCCTATTTCATCCATTATATTCAATATTATGTTGTTTGTAATTTTGAGAAATTCAGAAGCGTGATTCTTACTTCTCCAACTCTCTGGACATGCACATATCTTTCCTTGTGCTAATTAATATCTTGAATGAGAAGCATTGAACAATTCGCTTTAATAGACAACAAAGTACTACTCTCAGTAAGACCCTGAGTTGCTTTGTGTTTAGGTGGTTTATATACCAAATTCATTATCAACATTTCCTTGATTTCTTCCAGATTGGAATGCTTGCATTCAAGATTGATTTGTCTTCTTTTTGGCTGGACTTTCAAGCAGTCCTCATAAAGAAAGGTTTTTGTTTCAAAAACACCATCTACATGAGACTTACTCAACAGATGACATATGAAGATTTCCTGCTCCATACATCCTCCCACATGTTCTGGGGAAAATTCTGCAGGAGTTTTGGCACCTCAACAATGCATGCAAATAGCTCCATAGTCTTGATATATGATTAATTCAGAGTTCAACACACAACATGCGGTGGGATTTTGGTGCAGCCATTTCTATACATATATACAGCTATTCAGATTTAAACAACATAGCTGTTTGTGCTTCAGACTTCTAGTTATTGTAGTGACATTCTGGGGATTAAAAAAAAAAACCTTTGACATTATTTTCTAAAAAGTTACTTTTACCATTACAAAAATAATGGCATAGCTTGCCCTCAACAAAAACAGGCTTGTAACTCAACCAGAAGGCATTGGTGGGGGAGCAGCTAAAGAATTAAGAGGTAGCCATATTACCTGCTCTGCAGACATATTTCCTTCATAATGAAGGAAAGCATTAATTTAAGGAAGTTGTATTTCAGAAGATGTTGGCTATATATAATAAGAGTTCAGTGAACCAAAGGTATGGTGAAGGCCCTCACAGCTGGGCAAGACCAAGGAAGCAAGAACTACACAGATTTCAGTAAAGCATCTTTCAGGCTAATCTAGGACATATGTCTTAGAAACTGTAAGAGAGATTGCTAACTCTCATTTATAGTGAGTTCATTAAAGTAGGGTCTCTGAATGATTCGAAACATTTCTTCCCAGATTTCTCTCCACATGGGCTAAGTTACCATTTATGAGATAAGCTATCAATGAATATGCCTTCTATCTCTTTGTGTATATCTATTCTCTCTTCCATTCCTCTCTCAAGCTTCCCAAAATCTCTGAACAGATATTGTCATAGAATATGGATATTTGCATAATTGTCAAAAAGACTTTTGATATAACTAATGCACTGTGTGGTTTGCACACTTTTCTCCTAAATCTCCCATTATCCTGCAACCATCAGCCATTCAACCCTCCCAACCCACCTCAATGGTTGTTGTGGGGAAAATAGGAGGGAGGAGCATTATGTACCCAGCCTTGAGTTGTAGAAAATAAAAGAAATCTAATAATAGATAACTAAATGGGGAGACTTAGACCTTGTTTGGTCACATCTGCTTGGAAAGATCATCCCTGGGTCCTTTGTAAGATCATTTTATCCAGGGTTGGGGTCATATTCAAATATTATACCAATAGGGAATGCAATTCAGGAGGGGGAGCAAATCAGACAATACCTAAAACCCTAACCCCCAAAGCAAAGCAAACTAAAATTTCATCTTCACCTCCTCAAGGAAACCCCACAACTGATTTATCTGTAGTAAAAATACTTCCACTAGTGTCTTGACTCTTAGCTTTTTTTCCCTTCTCCCCACCTGAAAAAAAATAAAATAAAATACAGAATGCCCTAATTCCCCCTTGCAAAAAAACCCAATTGATTTATTTACACTGATGCTTCTTCTAGGGTAGGCTTTCCCAAACTGTGAGGTGTAGCTCTCTTGGGGAAGTGCAGACAGAGTCCAGGGGAGGTGTAAAGAACCTTTACTTTTTTATTTGTTATGTTCTTATTAAAAATAAAGTTTTGTTGTATTTTTTTCATTCTTCATTTGTGTTCATTTTGGTGTTTGGATTTCTAGGGGAGGTGTGTACCTTAAGATTACATTAAAGATGTGATGGCAAAATAATTAGGAAAATGAATATCTAGGACATTAATTTCTGCTTCTCCCTCATCAGTTACAGATAAAAGTTATACATGTTAAAATTACTGCTCTTGGCATTAAACTCCCAGTTGCAAGAAATCAGTTGGCAGCCAAATGAGAAATGCTCCTGTTGGTGGTGGAAGTTTACCTGCTCTAAATGCACTGAGTATGTGCGGTTTGCACACCAGTAAAGAGGAGGAGCTGGAGTTCCCAAATAGCAGCTGCCAGTCACACCAGGTCCCTGGAGTGGGCTGTACCATTCAATCAGAAAAATCGGGGTGGGGGGTGAGCGAAATTTAGAAGACTCCATCCCCCATCAAGTACAAGCCTGAACAGAAAGCAGATCTCCAAGCTTTCCCTATCTGGGTATGAGTGAACCCACCCCAGCAGCTTCTACTTTGACTAGCAGCACTGCAAACCCAGTTCCACCAACCAACACCTTCAGGAATGGCCCAGGAGTCACAGAGATGTTTGGTGGGATGGATCCACGGGCACGGGCATCCACTGGGGTCAAGGGAGACAAGTGGCATTAAGCCCCACCCCTTTTCTACACACATTGAGACATCACGCCTACGCTCCCAAGAGGCAGAACTTGCGGCGTTGTCAGGCCTAGCCCAAAGAACTTCCGGAGACCATGCAGGTTCAATCAGCAAGGTTTATTGGCCAGCACCTGTTTACAGAAATCTTCTCAGACTGACCAGCAGTTCCCAGGCACAACTCTCT